CTATCATCGTTTTTCCAGGAACAAACCGGTGGTTATGACTTACCTGTCTTTGCAGATTAGCAAGGTTGTAGCCAGGATTTAGGCTTCATTTAATACGTAGCAATTTGACTTTATTAAGAATAATGTTTTTCCAAATGGACATTATTCATCAAATTCAGTTACTAGGACACGTTATGGAAAGGAAAACAGCAATGGCTCAAAACACGAAGTTTAAGGGTCAAAAGGGCAAGAGGGCACTGCGCTGGGCACGCTGGGTGGGAGGAGGCCCGTGTCTCACCCCTTCTCCCTCCTCCAAAAACCCCACACAGATATGTGCAAGATATTTCACTCGTCAACGGGGCAGTCCATATATCACTACTGTTACATGACTCCATAAATTAAAGATCAGTGATGTGAATTTCAGCAGCCAAGAATTATTGTAATGCTTTTCTAGGAGTTGTAGACCACAACGACACCTCTACACTAGTTGTAGTAGATTACAACTATACTTCTTTATCTTCTCTGAAAGGGAGACATTGCTCCATAAATTCTGCAACATAGAGACTGTTTGGGGTATTTCTAGAAAGTTTGTGTTGAAAGATAATTTGGGTGCTACTTGATAGTGAACCTGAACAGAGAAGAAAGGCATCTTCTTACCCTTCCTCAGGTGTGATGAGTTTTGGAACCGAGCCTGAAGCCTCTGGTCCTTTTTAATATAACAGCCTTCCGTGTCTCTCAAACACGGTGTTATTTATATCCTCTGATTCCTCTCTTAGTTTAGATGGAAAAGAAGCGCTGAAAAGACTGCAGAAATTCTTCAAGAAAGAAATGGGTAGATTCAAAATGAAGAAAACCAAGTCAAAAGAAAGTATAAGGTAAAAACTCCCTTTTCATCTTTCTTTCCAGGAAGGATTAACAGGACTGGCCTGGTAGACACAGAGGTTGATGTTCTCCATCCAATTCTTAGACACAGGGAAGGGGATGTAGGGAACTAAAACCAAGAGCCCCTGACGTCTGAGCGAACCTCACCCACAGGCAGCAACTAACGAGAAACGTGGCATGTCCCTTTGAAAAGTCTGAAAAGGTTTTAAACAAGGCTGGGCGAGAAAGTCTCAAGCCAAGTCCAGGAAGGAAGCTTTTCTCAACGTCCTTGGCATATTCCTGTTGTTACCACTGAGCACTTCATTTTTCTTTGAGACAGAGCCTCAAGCTGTCCCCCTGGGTAGAGTGCTGTGGCATCATGCTCACAGCAACCTCCAACTCCTGGGCTCAAGCAAGTCTCCTGCCTCAGCCTCCCAAGTAGCT